GCATGACTAAACACCAAGGCGCACGGAACGCTGTTACCTTCCCACTGAAGTGGTACCTCTTTATCTACTTGCAATTTCTTGCTTTCGAACTGCTAGGTTGGCAGGAGCTGGAACTAGAGACGGGAGCTCACTCCGTCTTGCGGCACCCGGGTCTCGAACTGCTGAACTACTGACCTTCCACAGCCTGCAGTTCAGCGTCTTAACCACTTGAGCCACCGCAGCTCCTCATATATATTATAGTACCCAGAAATTGAGTGCAAAAGACCTTGCACAGGTTGAAACACAAGTGGGGGTACTGTAAGTTTGACTCAGCACAACTGGCCACCGTGGTCTTTTGCTTGCCTTTCTACTAGCACAAGAGCTCTAGCGCAAGCAAAAGTTTTGCACTGGATCCGACCCTACGTTTACCTACTTGTGGCAAACAAATGAAGGCAGCTTTGCTGAAGGAGCGCAGTGATCCGTGATCACAGGCCAACCTGAATTCATCTAAATGGCTCGTCCTGTTCTCCCCCCGCAAGCGAAACAAGGGCTTGGGATGGATCATGTCAGCCCAAATGTTATAGCAGCATTTCATCACAGCCATGCTTCCGTTGAAAGCCAACACACCAGCAGAAGTTGCGTCTCTTTCTGTTTTGTTTCTCTAGTCGCGCATATAAAAATCCCGCTCGGGTTTTGCTGACCCAGTCCGTATCTCGCTCGCTCTCTTCGATAGTATTGAGTGTCGTGATTTGCTGAAAATCTTCTTCTCCCCGCAGGCCTGCATGAGTTCTTCTTCCTGCTGGTCCTGGCGTACTTTGTCGCCGCTTGCATCTATGCTCAGTCCCTGTGGCAAACGCTAAACAAAGGAGGACCGATGCACACGGTACTGAAGGTCCTCTCCACCGTGTTGCTGTTGCAGGCCGCCTCGGCTTTTGCTAACTACTTGCATTTTTCAAGGTAAGCCTTAAAGCCTCGGAGTCGAGAAACTCTGGCAAATGTATTTGTTTGTTTGTTTAATTCATGCGTTCCCCACCTTTCTCCCCAGTGGGGACCCAAAGTAGTTTACGTTGTTCTCCTCCCCCCCGTTTTATCCTCACAACAACCTTGTGAAGTAGGTTAGGCCGAAAGGGTGTGACTGGCCAAAGGTCACCCAGCGAGCTTACATGGCTCAACTGGGGATTCGAACCTGGGTCTCCCCATGTAAGCTTGCTGGGTGACCTTTGGCCTGGCTCAACTGGGGATTCGAACCTGGGTCTCCCAGATACTAGTCTGACACGCTAAACACTGCACTAGACTGGCTGTCTGAAATACGAAGTTTCCGTATTGAATCTGCCCAGTGGGCCACCTGGTCTCCCAGAAGTCAAGCAAAGGTCTTTCCCATAGTTAGCTATGCTAGGGATTGAACTGAGAAGCTTCTGCCTGTGACACATGTCCTGTACCAGTGAGCTGTGGGTTGTCTCCAGAAGGTATGGGATGCCGCTCCATCACGGTGTACGGGTGAGGTCAGCCTTTGATCCCACAGTCCCACATACACCGTTTCCACAGTTAAACCATTATACTACAACAGCAGAGGTGTGACTTAAGGAAACTGTACCCTTTACACGTCAGACAACTTTGACACATGCATGCACACACCAGCGCTGCTGGGTTTTTCCCTCGAGCAAATATGCATACACGTGTTTTTGAAGTTCCAACATGATCAGTTTTCCAGATGCGTGGGTTGTCTCCAGAAGGTATGGGATGCCGCTCCATCACGGTGTACGGGTGAGGTCAGCCTTTGATCCCACAGTCCCACATACACCGTTTCCACAGTTAAACCATTATACTACAACAGCAGAGGTGTGACTTAAGGAAACTGTACCCTTTACACGTCAGACAACTTTGACACACGCATGCACACACCAGCGCTGCTGTTTTTTTCCTCGAGCAAATATGCAGCAGATACATACACGTGTTTTTAAAGTTCCAACATGATCAGTTTTCCAGATGCCCCTAGAGATGTCTGTGCTTTCAGCGCTTGTTTTGAATTTGTGTGCCATCTCTATAGTGCTTCGGTTCCTCTCAGTTTCTTGTCATCTGCATTTAGGCCCAGAATGCCTGTCTGTGCTGCAGTCCCTTAAGCGTGCTGGTGAGAAATTGCACAGAAATAAGTGACAGAGTTTTGAATCTTGATAAGGGATTAGTTCATGAACTGCAGTGTTCTCTCCTGTTATATCTGCATATTGCTCTGTTATATCTGTATATTGCTATGTTGTATCTGTATATCGCTACGTCTGTTATAACTCTGTATTGCTATATCAATTACCAATTTAAAAAAAACTTGAAAAGGCCCTCTGCCCGTAATGGTGGAGGGAAATGGCCTTCATGGGAACTGGGGAAAGGAAAGTCGTGGCAGCGTGGGTGTGGGGTGGGACTGTGAAAATACGGATTTTACTGCTCACACAGCAGTCACTGTAGCTTTGCTGCCCTGTGTCCCAAAATATTGCAGCAAAGCAGGTTGGAGAAAGATCATAGAAAAGATTAGGGAAACAAAAGCACCATGATGCTGCAAGGAAGCCGGAGGGGGAAATGTTTTCCAGTACCCAGGCCAGCCCAAGGAACGCACACGTAAGTCACCTTTTGACTATCAAATCCTTAACATGGTCCAAACGATATCAGCTTGCTTTTGATCCGTCTAATTCTCAAATAGTTGCAGACTTAATGTACATTTATTTGTATAGTATATTGATACACATCTGTCTATTGAGAAATCTCCTTGGTTTGCGACTGAATAGCATAGTGGACAAAATAGTCTTACGTGGTTTCTTTAACAGAGCGATTTAAAGTGAAGGGTGCTTTTTTGGTTTGTTTTTGTTAGATATGCTAAAAACGGAGTGGGAGCACCTTTTATGGGAAGCCTAGCAGAGTGTAAGTATATTTTAGTGTTACTGTTGCTTTATTTGAAGTTATTATAAATATATAGACATTTAGAGGTGGGGGTTTGTGAGTCGCATATATCTGCGGTGGCTCAAGTGGTTAAGATGCTGAACTGCAGGCTGTGGAAGGTCAGTAGTTCAGCAGTTCGAGACCCGAGTGTGCGGCATGATGGAGTGAGCTCCCGTCTCTAGTCCCAGCTCCTGCCAACCTAGCAGTTCGAAAGCAAGAAATTGCAAGTAGATAAATAGGTACCACTTCAGTGGGAAGGTAACAGCATCCTGTGCGCCTTGGTCTTTAGTCATGCCGGCCACATGACCACGGAAACGTCTTCGGACAGCGCTGGCTCTTCGGCTTTGAAACGGAGATGAGCACCGCAACCCTAGAGTCGGATTCGACTGGCTTTCGAGCAAGGGAAACCTTTACCTTTACCTTTAATAATATAATAATAATAGAGCGCAGGTATAGTCTGTTTTTGCCCTGACCTGGATAGTCCAGGGTAGCCCAAATCTCATCAGACCTTGGAAGCTAAGCAGGGCCAGCCCTGGCCAGTATTTGGATGGGAGGCCACCAAAGAAATCCAGGGTTGCTCTGCAGAGGCAGGCAATGGCCAACCACCTCTGAAGGTCTCTTGCCTTGAAAACCCCACCAGGGGTCACCTTAAGTTGGGTGAGACTTGACAGCAAAAAAAAAAGGAAAAATAGTTTTTTGAAAGATGGCTTCTGGAAGCATACAGACCTGTACTGGACAGAGGGAGCACACGCAGTCCTAAGGGAAGAGGGTCTATGAAACAGCTCCGGGAGGGACTCTGATAGTCACTGTGTATCAATGATACTGCCTTCTCAGAATGTAAGCCTTCCATTAGTTATTTTGCACCGCTGTTTCGCTCGTGCCTGCAATTAGTACGATTCAATTACATTAACGCTCTTCTCTTCTCCCCCCCCCCACTTAGTGTGTGACATAATCTCTCAGATGCAGATGCTGTACCTACTGCTGAGTTTGTGCATGGGATGGACCATAGGCAGAATGAAGAAATCTCAGAGCAAACCTCTCCAGTGGGACTCCACTCCGACGTCCACGGCCATTGCAGCAGTAGTGGTTGCAGCGCAGGTCAGTCTGTTGTTGCGTTGTGTATCTCACTAAGTGGGAAAGTGCTAACCGGGAGGCTGAGCAAAATGAATGAATGGTGCCATAGCATTGAAGAGGAAGACTGGATGGAAGGCAGCAATATCTGCAGTCACTGATGATCCTGCTGTAGATGATGGGGAAAGCTTTAGACTTGCCATTCTAGGCCATCTGAGGATTTGTTCCTACTCCCTGAAACAGGTTCGAAGGACTCAGAGATGCATCTTCTGATTCTGAATCCTTTTCTTTGTTAAAAAAATGTATTATTATGTACTTAATTAAAATATAGGAGCTGCGGTGGCTCAAGTGGTTAAGACGCTGAACTGCAGGCTGTGGAAGGTCAGTAGTTCAGCAGTTCAAGACCCGAGTTGCCGCATGACGGAGTGAGCTTCCGTCTCTAGTTCCAGCTCCTGCCAACCTAGCAGTTCGACTGGCTTTCGAGCAAGGGAACCTTTACCTTTACTTTAATTAAAATATAAGACTCTAGATTAACAGATAACAAACAACAGTAACATAGATATATACATCTTGATCAGAGATTACAATATGTAAAACTTTATAAATATACAGTAGATATTCTTTTGGGAAAAATAATAATAGAAGGAGTACAATTTCAACACTGTTCTATATAATATATGAGACATATATATAATACACAAAAACAAGGTAATTAGGAGAAGGAGAAAGGATGGAGAAAAGCGGGAGTAGCTATTCTGAAATGTCAAGATGTCATCAGTTAAGTCAGTCCAGAAATTGCTTAATAATGGGTACCATTTCTCTATAAAATCTGTTTGATTTGTGCTATTTTTCTTTTTTTTAATTAGCTTTTATTGAAATTTTGTAATAGAGAAAAAAGAGAAAAAAGAAAAAGACAAGAAAAAATAATTCAACATATATGCCTTCTCAATACAAATTAGGGATAGTTTACAGTCCATGTTATCTAAATCACGTAGTATCCTCATGTCAATAATCTTATATTCATATTTATCCTTAATCCACACATAGAAAGGAGTCCAAGCATCAACAAAGTCTTTTTTGGATTTTTCTTTCAAGATCATAGTTAATTTGTCCATCTCTGCACATTCCATAATTTTCCAAATCCATTCTTTGTGCTATTTTTCAGTGGATTCTGCAGAACAGACACTAAACATAGCACCCTGAATTACACCCTTATGAGTCCATTGAAGTCAATGGTTAATATTTTCTGAGTTCGTAGTCACTGTAGTGTTGACAAGCTGGTCAGTGGGTGGGTCAAATATGGTCAATTGGCAGTCACTTCCAATATTTTTTCCAGGAAACCAGGAGAGCCATTTTCATTTCATTAGGAGTCATATTTTGGCTGATTCTCTCCGTAGCTCTTCCTTAGTCGGGGGCAATCCTAGCAGTGTAGCGAAGCTCCTCTCCTCCCATATCCACCAACCAGAATCGTCGGTGGCAAAAGTAATTCCCAGTCCCATTTTAAGAGCTGATGGGCATCGCTTTGCCATTGGAAAGCACTGTTTTATCAGTTCCCCAGATGAAATACACAGATGCCTTTGGAAACGGCTGACAAGTCGCAGCCGAGTTACAGTGAACCTGTGAGATTTTCAAGGCAAGAGACTTCCAGAGGTGGTTTTGCCGTGGCCCGATTCTGGTAGTCTCCCACCCAAGTGCTAACCAGGGCCGACCCGAGTTCTGAGTCATCCAGGTGAGGTCAGATGTACAGATACCGTACCTTAAAGGGCTGATGCAAAGATTATTGAGACGAAAGAGCCAATTTAGATGAAGCACTGCAAGTGCACGGGGAAAATGTTGTATACATTCATTATTTATCTTCAGCTATTATTATTATTAGGACTGGAACAGACAGCCACAGAATTAGGAGGGCTGAAATCTTTTTATAACGAATGGCCAGCGAGTGGCCGAAGCGGTTGATCTGACTCCCAGCAGCCCTGCCAAATGTCGCTCAATACATGGTGAACGTTCTTGCCCGTAGTTTCACCCATAGGGACAGAGCATTGTTTTCAAAAATGGTTAGATGGCCCAGTTGAAGGGTGCCTGTGTTGGGAGGGGGGTTTTTGTGCAGTGTTCCAGCTGACAGCTGCTCAGAGCCTGACCCTCTGTGGAAAACATGCCGACTCAATAGACCAGGGATGTCAAACATGCGGCCCGGGGGCCGGATCAGCCCCCCCCCCCCCCCCCCCCGGAGGGCTTCCGTCAGGCCCACAGTGGAACTGGCTGTCTTCTGCTTCTTCTTCCAGTTCTGCTGCTGCTGCTGCATCGTAGGTTTGCAGCTTACAGATACACACCTGAACAGCATACTCAAGATTGCAACAGCACAGACATTTTGATGCAATAATTCAGAGCAAGAGGTGTCAGTTATCAGACACTGCTAAATAAACAAAATATTGCAAGAGTGCTAATGTTTTAAGCATGTTTTTATTTTGAGCAAAAAAACCACCCCCTTTGTGTTTGTGTCCTTTATGAAGTTTATATCTCCGCTACCTGGCATTACCTTTTATGACACACATGGCCCAAGCCAGCAAGGTCTCATTTATGTCAGATCCGGCCCTCGTAACAAGTGAGTTCGACACCCCTGCCATAGACTATGACCTAGAGAGCAGAGTGGGCCTCAGGAGTGTCTGTTTGTCTAGTGCATTTTTTTATCCTGCCGTTCCTGGGAGCTCGGGGCGGCCTACGTGGTTGTCTCCTTCCCATGTTTTGTTTTGTTTTGCCATCAAGTCACAGCTGGCTCATGGCGACCCCCATTGGGGTTTTCAAGGCAAGAGAAGGTCAGAGGGTGCTTTGCCATGGCCTGCCTCCATGTCACAGCCCTGGTATTCCTTGGAGGTCTCCCATCTAAATACTAGCCAGCAGCGCTGACCCTGCTTCCGAGATCTGACAAGATCAGGCTAGCCTTGGCTATCCAAGTCAGGGCTCTTCCTATATTCCCCTGACCAAAAAATCCCCCCAAAAAACTGTGCCGTAGGTGAGGTTGAGGAGGAGTGAGTCGTTCAAGTTCACCCAGCAAGTCTTGTGGCAGAATGGGGATTTGAACTTGGGTATCCCGGATTCTAGTCCAAAACTAAACATTGCACCTCACTATTTGTGACAGTTGAACAGAGTTTGGGTCGAGGGGCACCTTTAAGACTGACAAAAGTTTTATTCTGGGCGTAAGCTTTTGTGTGCGTGCAGACCTCTTCAGACACATTGAAACAGTTCAGTGTGTCTGAAGAAGTGTCCGTGCACAAGAACGCTTATAGCCAAAATAAAATCTTTGTTGGTCTTCAAGGTGCCACTGGACTCACACTTCGTTCTGCTGCTTCAGACCAACATGGCTACCCCCCCCCCGAATCTATTGTGACAGGAGTTTGCCATGAGAGATAAAAAGCACCCAGCATCTCTCAGTCAGATACCTTGGAGAGTTATATATGAGAGTATTAAGGCAGTTCTGCAGGACGCAGCCCACCTACAGCAGTTAGTGAAGACCCCTGACAAATACCCAAGGAACAAAATATCCATTCCAAGATGGCTTCCCTGTATTTAAAGGAGACGGAGAGGGTTTTGTGCTTTCTCTCACACTTGGGTTTTTTCCCCCCACACACCCCTTTCAGGCCAACAGTGCGGGACCACCATATTATTTCACATATGCGTGCGTACATGTGTATAAATATACTGTCCAGAAACAAATGTACTTGATAAAGTTCCATTTGGGCATCATCTTTATTGTAAATGTATGTCTGTTGTTTCGCAGTGTTTCTTGTTAATCTGGGAGCAGTTTGAAGACACTAACCACCACAGCTATCACTCGCACCAGAGCGTAGCAGGCGGACTTCTCATTGGCTTGAGAATTTGCCTGGCTTTGTCACTAGGCTGTGGTCTTTACCAGATCATCCGAACAGAGAGAAGCACACTTAAAAGGGAGTTCTATATCACTTTTACAAAGGTATGTGTCTGAATGTGAGGATCTTGGTATCCACTGAGTTTTAGTATGAACTCTTGTGGAGGAATTCAGAGGGGGTGAGTACACACCGATCTCTGTGATGATTGGGTCGAAACTGTGCATATGACAGACCGCTAACTGGCTTCCAAGGATTTATCTTCATGGACATTTGTCGTTAGGTAGTTCAGGACACCTCCCACACACATGCAACTACTTGGTCTCACGAATAGCTCTACGGGCTCACCGTATGAGGCTTTCTCAAGATCATTTTTTAGGTCAGAGGTCCTTGAGCTTATTGAGCCTGTGTAGATCATTGAGAATGGGTAGTGGGCGCCACCACAAGATGGCTGCCATGGGAAGCAGGCCCAAGCAAAAGATGGCTGCCATGAGGGGAATTACAAAACGTTGAGAAGTTTCAAGCCAAGCTTCCTCCTGTTTACAAACAGATGTTCCCTGCAGACCCGAAGGTGATGTCTCCTGGGTTCTCCTAAGGAGCTCCCACTCTGAAGAGGCTGAGGAAAGCCAGAGTCGGAGCTTTACTTTCAAGAAGAGGTGTTTTTAGGAAAAAGCAAGAGGGCACCCAGAAACTTACCAGTGGCCACCACATTGCTCATCACTGTTTTAGGTTTTGAAATGTCAACCGCTGAACTAGAATTTAAGATGACAATGGGAAAGGCCTTTGTTCAGTGTGATCCTCCTTGTTACACAATGGCTACATTTCACTGCAGAATGGAAAATCATTTGCCTAATAGTTTGTGTCTAGATTTGCACTAAGGGAAGCTTTTACAGTGTTCAGGTTTTCAGATGATGTCCTTCACTACTTTAGGCCGGTGCTATCATAGCATCCCAAGTACTGTATTCAGTTTGTGGCAAAGGAACAATGGAAAATTCCACGCATTGTTAGTTTTTTGTTTTTGTTTTTTTAAATGTGCTAATAGATTCTTTGCCAGTGGTTAAAGGAGTGTCTCAACTGGACATACATGGTAGTCTTGTTCATTTATAGAAAGGTTTTGTCAGACCAACCAGTCCTGTATCTAATTAGAAGATATTACAAGATCCCAGATCTTCTAGGAGAAGCAATACCATGTGATCATAAAATTATGATTCATAATCTTTTAATGGCAGCTTAAAATGCTTATTGCTAATTGCTGTCAGAGAACCAAGAAATCTGAACACCTAATCGTAGATGAACGAGGTTTGGCAAATATTTAAACTTTCAGAATTGACAGAATTTGTATGTCTGAGAGACGGGAGTCCATTAAAGCCTGCCTTTCATAAATGCTGGCGGCCATTCATCAAAAATAGAGATGAAGTGTTAAATCGTATAACTATTCTGCATTTGGTAAGCTAATGTTAACTTTTGGTTATGTAAAAATGAACGTTACAGATGTGCGTGTGCGCGTGTGCATACGTCATACAGATTTTTTTCAAAACAAAAATAAAAGCAACGTAGAAATTCTGCAGCTTTCTGCAGCTTGAGTCTTATACTTTTGCTCACTTCCTCTGGCACTAGCCAGTGTTTTCCAAGGAGCCCCAGAGTTCTAGTGTGAGAGGAATGCACCCCCCGTCATGGAGAGCTGCCTCTACGGCACCCATAGAGAAGTGCTCACAGAGCAAAGGTACAGGATCCGAATTTGTATCCTCACCATTGATATTTTTAAGTTTTAGTTCAAGAAATTGGGATAAAAATCTGGATGAATGTTTAGTTACTTTGTTGTAAGATGGCATAACTATTTTACGCAGTGCTCTATTGTGGGGTTTTTACTTTTATCTATTTTAGCCCATTTTGCTGTGACAGTTTTTATCATCTAGCCAGCGGCAGCAGTTGCATTCTGAACTGAGCTCTGTGGAAACCTGGCGTATTGGGTTGGGTATATTCTCGTATGGTCCTACTAAATGAGTACTCTAACTCTGGGAGGACAATAAGAGATGAAAGTCTTCCCTCAGTGAGGCAGGTTTTACCCCAAGTCTTTGTAATTTCGTGTGACTTGATGTAGAACGCCTGTTGGCGAGTTACAGGATGCTGGGTTCTTAACTCATGGAATAAAAGTGTAAGCCAAGTACCAGTTAATGGTCAGATCCCTTTTTGGTAGTGACAGCTGAGAGCAGCTCATGGATACCAATTCTTCTTTTTCAGGGCTGCGTTCTGTGGTTTCTGTGTCACCCCTGTCTTGTATCCATATCTCTAATGTTTAGAGACTACCAGAGAGAGAAGGTGGGTACAGCTTAGCACAGAGGCTTTTTAAACCTGGATCTCAATTAAAGCAAGACTTTAATGCATGTTCGGTACTTATGAATGCGCTTCAAAATCTTTCTTGAGCTAACACCTCTCACCAATGCTGTAAGGAAAGTGTGTGGCTAAAGTGTTGTATTCTGTATCGTTCAGAACAGGGGAGAGGGGTTCGCGAAGGCCATATCCCAAAGACAAATCTGTTAGGCCGATTCTTTGAAATCTTTGTAAATGGTCAAGCGGAGCCAGGAAGCTGCTCAACAAGACTCCCAACTTTTTCCTTCGTAACTAACAGCTCACAGGGGTGGGTTTATGTGGCTTTCTCACTCCTTTACCAAGCTGGGAACTAGTGGGCACGCGCACGGAGCCTGCCTGCCACAGTCAGATAAAGCCCACTGCCGTTCTCAGGTGAGTGGCTGTGTCGCTCCGCAGCACTCTCGTGCTCCCTGTGGTGAGCGGACGGTGCACGACTACGATTGTGCAGAAAATTAGGAAGGACAGTATGCCCCCGCAAACACAAAGAAACACATTCACATTACTTTGCTTCCCAGGGCACCCGGAGAAAGTACGGTTTATTCCTTATAGCTGCATTAATTAGCAAATTACAGTTCCATTGATGGCTGCATAATTCCCCACCACCCAGTTCTTTTGGGAAGGAGACTTGGCACAGTGGGTTATTCTTCCTCCGTATGCAGGATATTGCAGAGCGGTTTCTTCCGCCAGTTCAGTGCTGTACCTGAATAATTGCAGGTCCCAAACTGTGCCGCTCTGAAACAGGGCTATTAAAGCCCCCCTTCCTCAGGGGCTCGTGCAGCACAACCGGAAGTCCTGAACTGCAGAGGGTAAAGAACAGCCAGAAGAACGCAGCAGGTGGGACAGAGCCATCGGGACATCTTGAGCTCCCGCTACAGTTTCTTGTTTGCAGAACCAAACTCGTAATGCTACTGGTAAATCTTTGATGATGAAGAAGAAGAGTTGGTTTTTATACCCCCCTTTTCTCTACCCTAAGGAGTCCCAAAGTGGATTGCAATCGTCTTCCCTTCCTCTCCCCACAGCAGACCCCCTGCGAGGTAGGTGGGGCTGAGAGAGTTCTGAGAGGAACTGTGACTGACCCAAGGCCACACCAGCAGCTGCATGTGGAGGAGTGGGGAATCAAACCCGGTTCTCCCAGATTAGAGTCAGCCACTCTTAACCCACTACACCACATTGGCATGGTGGAGATGCTGTCATAAGAACATAAGAGATGCCAATGTTGGATCAGGCCAAAGGCCCATCCAGTCCAACACTCTGTATCACACAGTGGCCAGAAATACCAGTGCCATCAGGAGGTCCACCAGTGGGGCCAGGACATTAGAAGCCCTCCCACTGTTGTCCCCCCCCCCGAAGCACCAAGATGACAGAGCATCACTTGCCCCAGAGCCCCAATCTATACCTTGTGGCTAATAGCCACTGATGGACCTCTGCTCCATATGCTTATCTAACTCCCTCTTGAAGCCGTCCATGCTTGTAGCCGCCACCACTTCCTGTGGCAGTGAATTCCAAGTGTTAATCACTCTTTGGGTGAAGAAGTACTTCCTTTTATCTGTTCGAAGCAGGGCCACTCTGATAGCCTCTCTGCCTTGTGCTGGGAGCTCCCGGTGACTTTGTCCTTATCGGTCAGGCTTCTCCTTACCCAGACCTCTTTACTTGGAACGGTTGTGCGGAACAAGGTCCAGATGGGAGCCCTGGTGGAGCAGAGCCAGTGGCCGTGGCCGCATCAGCGCTGGGACTAGGATCAGGTCCTCGTGTTTGTTCAAGAGGGATAGCGCCAAGATTCTTGCGCTCAGCGCGGGGTGGCCTTCTGGCATAGACGTGAGAGTGCTGCCCATGTGGCCCTCGGTGAGACGGGTTGCGTCCTCTCTTTTGATGAGCCAGTCCCTAAGTTTGGAATGAAAGTGAGGAGTGCCACCATCTTTGATCTACACGTGAAGAGGCGCCAGTGTATTTTTTTTATTACTGTCGAGTTAAGGGAGGCAGAAGGCTGTTCAGATGTACGTGAGTTGTAACCTCGAAGAGGACTGGCAGCTGGCCTTCCTGCAGGAAAAAGAGAGACTCCCAACTTTAAGCCACCTACGTTCCAGTCTCCATTCACAGAAGACCAAGGGGCCTTGCATTGTTTATTTTTATTATTTTTTTAGCATGGTCCAGAAGAAGCTAAGAGTGGCGGGTTCTGTTCTGGAGAGTCAGGTTGGATTCCCTGCGCCTCCTCCAGATGAAGCTTGCTGGGTGACCTGGGGCCAGTCACAACTCACCATTCTCTCAGAGCTCTCTCAGCCTCACCTGCCTCCAGTGCTCCCTCTAAGCTGTGGGAGTCTTGTGAGCAAAAATTCATCTTTGTGAGCGACTGGCATTAAAGTTGTGAGCGAGCGATTTGGCTACTGCATAAAATTAGCTTGCCCTGGAGCCGTCCTTCCTGAACTAAGACAAAAATGTGTGAGCCAGAGGCTAAAAAACTGTGAGCTAAGCTCACACTAAGTCAGCTTAGAGGGAATACTGCCTGCCTCCCAAGTTGCCTGTTGTGGGGAGAGGAAGTGAAGGCGATGGTAAGCTGCTTTGAGACTCCTTAGGGTAGAGAAATGCAGGGTATTAAAAGTTACTCTTCTTTGTTGGCACACCAGCCCTCAATGAATTGCAAGCTGCAAAAGCTCCACTCTAAATAAACCATACTTAACATTCTGGCAGAAGGTTCTTACTCATTCGATGGCACAGCTTTGCTCCGTTTCAGGTTTTAGAGCATGTCTCTAACTGTATGTTGCAGAGAACTATCCATTCAGGAGGCCCCCCGTTACAAGCAATCATGTGCCGCTCATTATTTTTTGTGTGTAGCACAGTGTTGAAAAGTTTCATGTCTAAAAAATGCTTCAGAACTTTTTGTGTACCCACGTTAACTATATTAGTGGGGGCTGCGGGTTGGATGCTGTGGACTCGTTCCACTAACAGGAGCATCTTCCTTTTTTTTAAATAATGAATTTTATTCTACAGAAAATGTTAAAAGCAACATATCCCCGATATCCCAGGCAAGGTGGGGAAGGAGACACAAAACTAGCAAAACAACTGTGTGCTATATTTCCCACAACGTATTCATAAAGGAGACTTCATTTAAAGTGTGATATATGTATTATATGAAGTCAGTGTGCCCATACAGTCCATCATAGGAAAATACAGAGGCCTATAAGTGAATATACAGAATTATATATCGAAAATCCAACACTTTTCCCAGGTAATTTTTCAGTGTTTCAGACCTGTAACATTTCAGTGTTTTGGTCCTGTAACATTGTAGTAACCTATAAGGGTGCTGCTGTTTAGAGCTAGGGAGACCTTGCCCAACATTGAAATACAAGAAAAGTTCCTTGTAAGGAACTGAAAGGGGGATTCTTAGCAGTGGTTCTTTGTTCCTGAGGAAGGACCAGAGATCTGAAACACTGAAAAATTACCTGGGAAAAGTGTTGGACTTTCTATATATAATTCTGTATATTTACTCTTTGGCCTCTGTATTTTCCTATGATGGATTGTATGGGCACGTTGACTTCATATAATAGATATATTACACTTTAAATGAAGTCTACTGTTATGTCCGCTGACCGCCAAGTGCAGTACCGCGGATTCAAGGGCCGTCTGGACTTGATTGTGGTAGAGGGTGACCTGGTCAGCCTGCTGGGTCGCGCCTGGTTCAAGCCCCTGGGAATCTCAATCGAGGGAGTACAGCTATGCGCAGCCCACAATTTCCGAGGAATATGCCGGGAATTCCCTGCCATTTTCGATAACTCTCTGGGCCATTATACGGGCCCCCCGATGTCCCTGCATCAAGACCCCAAGGTGGCCCCCGTCCAAATGCATGCCAAGACGGTTCCGTTGTCGGTCAAGCCAAAAATCGACGCGGAACTGGACTGCCTAGTAGCTCAGAGGTTATTCCAACAACCGATGGACTCTCTTCTCAAAGAGATACCCGGCATCACCCCATTCTTTGATGATATGATGATCACCGCCGCCACGCTGGCTGAATTCACAGACCGCCTCCGCACCGTTTTCAGGACGCCGGACTTAAAGTGAAACAAGAAAAGCGCCAACTGGGGGTGCCATCTGTGGACTTTCTAGGCTTCACGGTGACGCGGACAGCCTGCACCCGACCCGTGACAAAGTTAAGGTGATCGTGGAGGCCCCGCCACCAAAATCTAAAATTGAACTGCAGGCATTTCTGGGAATTTTCAATTTCTACCACTCCTTCCTTCCCCACAAGGCGGCGGTCGCTGAGCCCCTTTACCGCTTGTTAGATAAGCAGGCCCCTTGGGTGTGGGATGATGTGATGATCGCCGCCGCCACGCTGGCTGAATTCACAGATTACCTCCGCGCCATTTTCAGGACGCCGGATTTAAAGTGAAACAAGAAAAGTGCCAGCTGGGGGTGCTATCTGTGGACTTTCTAGGCTTCACGGTGGACCGGACAGCCTGCACCCGACCCGTGACAAAGTTAAGGTGATCGTGGAGGCCCCGCCACCAAAATCTAAAATTGAACTGCAGGCATTTCTGGGAATTTTCAATTTCTACCACTCCTTCCTTCCCCACAAGGCGGCGGTCGCTGAGCCCCTTTACCGCTTGTTAGATAAGCAGGCCCCTTGGGTGTGGGAGCCCCGACAGGCCGCTGCATTTCGGAATGTAAAAGAATTGTTGATCTCCAACTTGGTCCTGGCCCATTTCAATGAGGTACTGCCGGTGGTTTTGGCTTGTGATGCTTCCCCTTACGGCGTCGGAGCAGTGCTGGCACATCGTCTCCTGGACGGGCGGAAGGTCCCGATCGCGTATTACTTGCACACTCTGTCTGCGGCGGAGCGGAACTACGCGCGATCGTGGAGGCCCTCCCACCAAAATCTAAAACTGAACTGCAGGCGTTTCTGGGAATTCTCAATTTCTACCACTCCTTCCTTCCCCACAAGGCAGCGGTCGCTGAGCCCCTTCATCGCTTGTTAGATAAGCAGGCCCCTTGGGTGTGGGGGCCCCGACAGGCCGCTGCGTTTCAGAATGTAAAAGAATTGTCTATCTCCAACTCGGTCATGGCCCATTTCGACGAGGTACTGCTGGTGGTTTTGGCTTGTGATGCTTTCCCTTACGGCATCAGAGCAGTGCTGGCACATCGTCTCCTCGACGGGCGGGAGGTCCCGGTTGTGTATTACTTGCGCACTCTGTCTGCAGTGGAGCGGAACTACGCCCAGATAGATCACAAGGGACTTATGACCTGCAACACTGACCGGGGAAGGCTATGGGCCACGCCGACGCCCTTAGCCGACTGCCCCTGCCAGATGTGGTTGTGGATCCGGCCCCCACGCATCTCGTCCTCCAGCTGGACGGGCTTCCAGACGCTCCACTGCAGGCTGCAGACGTTGCCCACCAATCAGCTCGGGACCCCGTTATTTCCCGGGTTGCCATTGCCACAGACCACCGTCCACAAAGGCCACCATCCGTGCCCTCCAAAAGATCTTCGCCACCCATGGGTTGCCAGACACCATCGTCTCGGACAACAGGATGGCGTTTACTTTGGAGGAATTCCAACAGTTTCTCCACAACAACTTGATCAGACACATCAGGTCAGCGCTGTTCCACCCCGCTACAAACGGCCAAGTGGAACGCATGGGCCATACGGCAAAGGAAGCTTTAAGCCGCCTGACAGAGGGGGACTGGGAATTTCGCATCGCCCATTTCCTCCTTGCGCAACAAAAACGCCAAACCCCGTAAGCGGTCGCTGCCCAGCTGAATTCCTCATGGGTCAGAGACCAACAATCCACCTGGACCGCCTGCACCCAGATCGGGCTCCCAAGCCACGGAACTCCTCCAAGCAGCGGGAAGCGCCTCATGGCTTCTTCCCAGAGGACCCAATCTTCGCCCGAAATGGATCGCCAGCCGCATCATCCGTCCCACAGGCACCGTCATGTATGACATTACGACGGAATGTGGGCAGGTCCTTCGAAGACACATAGACCAACTCCGACAGCGCATGCTCCCAGAGCACCCAAGCACGCAGGTTCCTGAGCAGTGGGCCAACCCAGAGGTGAGCACCCAAAATGCCCCAGCGCAGGACCTCCCCACTGAAGAGCATCAGAACCTTACCCCCCGTCCCCACGGCAGCTACCGAGGAGGGCCCGACAGCCGACTCTTCTGCGCCAGAGGTGGCTGCACCACCATCATGTCCCAGCACAACGGAGGGGGCCCCGGAGGTTCCAGTACCGGCTCTCCGACGGTCCACTAGAGAATGGTGGGCCCCGTCATACTTAAAGGACTATGTGACCTAGGTTAGGTCTGAACTATGGGGGGAGGGATGTTATGTCCGCTGATCGCCACCAGGGGCCAGTGAATACTCCTGAGCTTGACTCTGTAGAAACAATAGGGACTAGGCTCCTAGTCTCTCCACCTGGGAACCAATAGGACCGTGGCGGAAGATTTGAACCCACCAACAGGACCTAGGGCGTGTCCCCAGGTGTGTATATAGTTGACCAGGCTGCCAGTAGTTGTTGTCTTTGTTGTGTACGAGTAAACCATGCTGATCACTGCATCCGTCTCTGTGGTTTCTTCATGCGTCTAACCCACTACACTTCATCTCCTTTGTGCATATGTTGCGGGAAACACAACACATTTTGCTATTTTTGCTCCGTATTTTGCTAGTTTTGTGCCACTTTTTACTGTGTGCTGTACCTTTGTTGTTGTAAGGTGGGCAAGGTGCCAGGAAAGGCACCTGTGAACCAGAGGATGGTGCCACCATTAGCAGAACAAAGGGCACTTTCACACACACTAAATAACGCAGGTTCAATGCACTTTGCAGCTGGATTTTATTGTGTGAAATGGCAAAATCCACTTGCAAACAGTCACTGGAGTGGATTGGAGCTGCATTATTTAGCATTTGTGAAAGCGGCCAAACCCACAGGATCTAACCCTGTTTTTGCTGAAGCCTTCCATTATGCCAAGCCTCTGCAGTTACATCCATCATTGATACTGCATTAATAAAGGGTATGACATGAAACCTGGTCTGCACGCCACATCCTCATTACTTATCGCTTGAAGACTTGCAACTGCCTGCATGGGCTTTTCCCGTTGTACAGCTTCCCCCCACCCCACCCCGACTGTGTGAGTTACTAACTTGGGGGTGAAATGTGGTGGGGGAAAGGCACGTCTGCATTGTAATGTAGAACCCACCCCTGCCAAAGAAACCGAGAAAGAGAAGGCATCTCAAAGTTTGAAGCAGCAAACGGAAGCTTTTGCTTTTGTGTGCTGTAACACAAAGGCTTTAGACATCTGTTGGCATTTCTTTATTGTATTGTCCATTGGCACCTGAGTGTGACGGCCTGTTTGGGACTTTGAGTCTCCTGTGATATAAATGCTTAATCATTCTGCCCTGCACGTTATCAAAGTACAAGTGCTTGGAGCATTTTTATCCCCGGGGGGGGGGGGGGGGCTGTACTGATAAACTACAAATCTTAATTCCTCCCCCCCCCCATAGATACACAAAGACTGGCTATAATAGACTCTTATACATGGAGTACTTTTTCCTCGCGGTGATTCTTGTAGGGGTTTGTTTTTTTGGGGGGTGGGGATAACGTTGATACTGAGAAACATAGTTCAGCATGTCCAGAAATACAACTTTCCTAAAATGAGATTCCCCCCCCCCCGACAATGTTTGACTTGGTGCACCATTCTAACAGCCCGTTTTCATGGGAATGCCATTTCAGAAATAATACCTAAGGAGGGGGGGCATGGCATGAAGGGACTCCAGTGTGGTGATAAGTGCATAGGCATAGTGTCAGTAGGGTATAGAGCAGTGATGGCGAACCTTTTAGAGACCGAGTGCCCAAACTGCGCCCCTAAACCCACTTATTTATCACAAAAGTGCCAACACGGCAATTTAACCTGAATACTGACATTGTACTTTAGGAAAAAACAACTCATACATTAACTTAAGATGATCCAAACAAAGTAAGGAAAGCAATTCCAAATGCTTTCATTTACTTAAAATTATTTGGCAGAGAATTCAACACTTTAATGATGGTCTGGGCCTGGCTGGGGCGATGGCACACGTACCCACAGAGAGGGCTCTGAGTGCCGCCTCCGGCACCCGTGCCATAGGTTTGCCACCACTGGTATAGAGGTTCCCTTGCACTACCAAGGTTAGAGTGAATGATCAGTTGCACACCCCCCCCCCCCCGGCCATAATGTGTCAGCTTTTTTTTTACCCGTTGGGAGCAGGGCGGGGCCACGCCCAGCAGGCAGATCAGGCAGAGATCAATGGATTTCCCAAATCAATCCAGAAACCAAAGGACCTCTGTTACTCTGTTTCTGCCTCTAGCCTCGTTTCCACAAACTGCATCCAAACCCCTCCCCAAACTTCGAAGTGGTCTTTCATTGCTAGGGGCGTGGACACCGCCAGCTCTTCCTCCTAAGAGGAGTGACGCATTCTACTGGTTTTGTTGTTTTTGAGCCACAACACAGAAGAAAGCTTTTTGATGTACCACCAGCCCAAGCGGTCGCCCTGAGCCCATGGTTGATCTGAGAGTGTCTGGATCCAAAGGAATGTTTGAACCTTAAAAGGTTACAATTCTGAAGCAATTTTTAATGCTGTAATATACAATGACACATTACAGGCACATTGAATGGACATCCTCACACACCCTGCGATAACACTTGTGGCAATGCAAGCTGGGTTTCTGGACTTACACTTGGGTATTCCGGAACCCCTCCCTGGCCCATAGCTACAGTGGGGCTATTGGGGCTCAGCCCCCTTCCTTAAAGTCCCCCTGCTTCTTCCCAAAAGCATTTGAGAAGAAGAGAGGGTGGCGCGTGCCCCTCTCCCTCCCTCCTGCAAGATTTAGCTGATCAGCTGGAGGGCCCTTTAAATCTTGCAGGAGGGGAGGGAGAGGGGTGTATGCCACCCCCTTCATTATGGCAAATTAGAGAGAGAGAGAAAGGATTTATACCCCACCCTTCACTACCCAAAGGAGTCTCAGAGCGGCTTACAAACTCCTTTCCCTTCCCCTCCCCACAACGGACACCCTGTGAGGTAGGTGGGGCTGAGAGAGCTCTGACAGAAGCTGCTCTTTTTTGAGAACAGCTCTTATCAGAACTATGGCTTGCCCAAGGCCATCCAGTAGCTGCAAGCAGAAGCGTGGGGAATCAAACCCAGTTCTCCCAGATTAGAGTCCGTGTTCACTACACCAGACTGGCTCTCAAATAATGGCAGGGGGGAAAAAATTGCCCCACAAGGCACAAAATCCTGATTACGGGCCTGACCTCCTCCTGACTATATCTAGTAAACTCCATATGTGTTGTACAGTACATATGTTGCTCTTTCTGCAAATAAGTCGTTTTTGTTCCCTACTTGTGTCTTTTAGATAATTACCATTGGTGTTATCCTCTGCCAGTTGTTCTCCATGGTCCTCCTGTACCGGCTTTTCGTTTCCCACAGTCTGTACTGGGAAGTGTCTTCGCTCTCATCAGTGACATTGCCACTCACTGTAGCATCTGGACATAAAAGTCGACACCACTTCTGAGACACAATCTGGGGAAGGTTTATTGGCAAAGGTGCAATACAAGACTTGGAAACGGCGCAGCTCTTTTCAGCAGTCAATCCTGGAGAAACCAGATGTTCAAACTAAGCATTTTGTTGTTGTTGGATTGGAAGGAGTAGAGATAAGAGATGAGTTTTATAAAAACGAGTGACTAGCGAATAGGTTGTCTTTTGCTATCTTGGATGAGAACGACGAAGAAGCAACGACGACAGAGGAGCAAAGCAAGCCCTCAGCCACCATTATTTTTCACTCCAAAACTGCCTCATTTTTAAAAAATCTGAGCGAGATCCATATCTCGGTCCTCACAAAGCTTAAACGTAGAACAAGTTTTGTAATGAATATGTCGGTGTAAGGTTGGTTTTTTAATTTCTGTTTGGAAAAAAGTGCAATTTATGCCTAGGTTTAAAAGAACTTGAAAACTATTAGCACCCAGGAAATCGACGTAAAAATGTTTACAGCAAACAACAGCTCTTGTTGTGTGTGTGTGTGTGTGTACTTTTAAAAAGTACATTGAGATTTGGATGTAGTTTTAACTATCAGTTTGCTCTCCTGCTGCTGCCTTTGCATTCCACGTATTTGCTAAATGTTAAAAGAGCATATGGGCGATGGGAGAACGAGGCTGGATTTTTATTTTTATTTTAAAAGGCAACATTAGGGTTGTGAAAACAGCAGGCTTGCCTCTCCTAAAGTGAAGGAAGCAAATGGAATGTGCGATGCGGTACTAGAATTTTAATCCCGATATAATTCATTACTCTTACATTGAGGATTCAGTCGTAATTAAGCCATATACACAGATTAAATTAACAGAAGCATTTCAAATAAACGTTAGTTTCAGTCATCAACTACCCATGAATTCCTGCCCAAGGATACTTAATCAGGATTAAATTTTCTATGAATAATTGAGAAACAAAATACTCACTGGATTTGTTATAATCCATGTTGGCATAGGGTTCTAAGTAGTTGCCATCTACCACTCGTCGTAATAGAACCGTGCTTTCAAATGATGCCTAACGCTCATATGGCTGTTGTAAATGTGTAGTTTATTGAAGTGCCTATTTATTGACCAAGATGAAAATTGCATGGACTCTTTTTTTTGCTATATAAAATGAGCATTCCTGTTAATTGACTGTTCCTTGTATTTCAGTGCTCCCCCCCCCCCATTTTTAAAAGCAAAACTTGGCATGCTAGGGGAACTATGAAGCTAGATTTTTGTTTCTAAAATATACTTTGTTCACAGTCAATCACAGTTGCAGGCTCCAGCCGATGCCTACGCTGGTTTTTTTGTGTACCCTCACAGGAAACAGGCGTGAAAGCAGATTGATTCATGCTTATTTGCTCTTCCCGGTTGCTCCAAGGCAGCGCTTGCTCACACCGTGTTGATCCAATTGCCAGAAGAAAGGAGGAGAAGGAGGACATACAAGAGCTAGTGGTACCTACTTAGCCTAAACTCCCACTTCCCCTCTTTGCACCAGGACCAGCACCAGTTGCTATAAATGTCTACTCAAAGCACTTGCTCTGGAAGAAACCCGGCAAGAGAGCCAGAGGCGGCAATCCTGAAACTGTACAAGCTGGAACGTAATTTTAGGAATGCAGTTTTTACAGTCTGGTCTTCAAAGCATTGCCCCACTAAAATTTACTAAGCTTCTATTTACTTACGGAACACTTTTGAGAATCACCCCCTGGATTTCATTTCGTTTTATAGGTTCCACAGACGCCTGCGTTTGACTAGGGCAAATGGCACGACATGACAGATGTGCTCGTTGCGTAATCTTGCTGGTTACTCTTTGTAATTCGGGACGAAGACTGGCAGGTTGGAGCTGGAAAGACAAGATCGTATTATTTCCCACAATCAGCAAAAAACGATTGCAAAATTCATTTTTGCAAGTCTCTGTCGAGCACCACAAAGTGTTGTTAAAGGTCCGGTTGTCTTTGCTCGTTTCAGAACAGACAGCGCCTTTTGGTAAAAACGTGTAATCATATAGAATACCTAAATGTTTGGGGTTTATTTATTTATTTTCTTTCATTTATATTCCACCCTTCCCGCCAGCGGGCTCAGGGCAGGTTACAAGGCCCCATAAAAATCGTGGCAATAACAATATCAAGTTCAGGCAATATAGAAATTCAGAAAGTTAAAATTTAGTACCAGAAAACCAGAGTGAAAGTTGCCTCGGTGGCGACGCTCGGATGGAACCTTCTGAGCGGTGTTAAATGTGGGTTTCCTGTTCTGTGAACCGTATTTGTGTGACAAGATAGCAACTGGGCCACATGGGAATAGCTTGTATTGGAAAAACTGCATTTGTTCAGAAGAGCTGCACAGGAGCACGCAGCTGATTTGTAAGGTTTACCTGTGCTTTGAATTTTCTGTGATGAGGATTTCATGCTGTACCAGTAGCATTTGAAACAGAGAGACCATGTGGGAGGGGCAGGTGACTTTGGGCGCTTTCGCACACACTTAATAACACTTTCAATCTGCTGTCAATGCACTTTGCAACTGGATTTTAGTAAGGTTTACCTGTGCTTTGAATTTTCTGTGATGAGGATTTCATGCTGTACCAGTAGAATTTGAAACAGAGAGACCATGTGGGATGGGCAGGTGACTTTGGGCGCTTTCGCACACACTTAATAACTCTTTCAATCTGCTGTCGATGCACTTTGCAACTGGATTTTAGTGTGTGAAATGGCAAAATCCACTTGCAAACGGTCGCTGAAGTGGATTGAAACTGCATTATTTAACATGGGTGCCAGTACCATACTTACCCAGCAGTTGTACCTTCTCCCTGTTTCACGTAGCTTCACTGTTTTAAGTGTTAGCAATATCAGGATGGGACCCTACCGACACATCAGCCATGTAACACGATTTATCATGTTGTATTTTTACCAGATAATACTTTATACTGATTGAGAGCCTATATTTTAGCAGAATAATACATGGCTTGTTATGGCATGACTCTTGAGTCTAGTGAAAATGGGTATTGAGACTCATTCACTGGTTCTAGAGTGTAGCCTCATGGAAGGGCCTGGCTGTGGGGCAGCAGAAGACTTCAGCCCCAATGTATGACCCAACTTTGCTGTTGGTGGGGGGATAGGGTATGTGGCAACAGTAGATGCTTGGCAGGTTTCACAGCCACACTTTGCTGGTCCCAGAGCCCAAGGCATGCAACTGTGCATCCATTGTTCCCAGTAGTAAAAGGGTTTTAAACTAATCTTACCAGCAATGAGGTGCAGCTTTCACATCATGTACCGAATTCTGAACCACACCATAGAGAATACGACCAACAGGTCCACAAAATGGTTCTGGGGACAGATAAGAGAGATTTCTCCGCAAACCTGAGGGAAGAAAAATCTGAAATCTGAAAAACAATACAAAAAAATTGGGGGGGGGGATAAAATCTCCCCCAAATATTAGAAACAATGACTGGAGCTTTAAGAAAAGAATGTCCGTTGAGCTTTCAGTGATTGTTTTGGAAGTTGCTAGGCAACTATAACAATATTGCTAAGACTTCTAAACTTGGAATTCTGTACAGCAAAGCCCAGCAGAGTGGGGAAAGAACCCTTGGAGGCCAAAACAAAACAGCTTTGGGAAAGGTCCACTCCTCCTCCCCTGTCATGTCTCTTAATGGAGGAAGACTCACTGAGGACTGGCCTAACGGGAGCCATTGGAAACTCAGTCCTGAGGCAACTCAGTCCAGCATCGATGGGCAGCACCACGCAACTAGCCCAGACTTTTCCCAGAGAGGCTGTTGGGAGAAGGGACACTGAAGGAAGGGGAAAGGCTAAAGGAAGGTTGGCTGGTGGTTGGGAAGGATAGAAGGAAGCATGAAAACGGGAGAGGCTATGGGGGCTGCCAGGGAAGGGGAAGAGGCAATAGTTGGGGGATGAGGTGTCCCCCGCAAGTCCTAGCAGGTCCTCTGATCGTTGTATCCCAGACCCCAAACAGAGCTACCCATATTAGCTTATGCCTTAGTAAATACAATATTCAGGGTTGGAACCGTCTCCTCTTGAGTAGGAGTACCGTAAGAGAAACCGTCTCAGGAGAAAAGCTGAACGATGAGTAGATAAGTCCTGGCACCAGTGCAAGGGGGCACCCCGTGGAAGCCAGCACGCCAGCCGGTTTCGCGGGAAGTACTCCCCGCTGAACATCAGAGGGGAGGTTGCACAATCTGCCAGGAGGTGAATATGCAGAATCCTGTTCCCCGTTTGAACGGTATCCAAATGGGCCTTTTTGGCTGCAAAGAGCAGCCTTGGAGGCCTGTGAAAACATGCAACAAATTAACGTAATAATCAGAACGGGGTCGGCAGGAAGGCTGTAGCCAGACACTCTGCGCAGGACCAATCCATACCGTTTATTTAATTCTGGCCAGTTGTCACATATTTAGATCCAAGAGTCATACGTAGTCTTGTTAGGTTAGTAAAGCTCTCCCCACCCGTGAGTATTGCGGGTCTCCTTTCTTGTAGGTACTAAGTACTGCAATGCAGGCCTGTCTCGTATTGTTTGGTCCTAGTCCAGTCCTTTAAAATTACAGCATGTTCGTCATATTTGAACACATGAAGCAGCCTTATACTGAATTAGACCAAAGTCAGATACCAGGAATGGAACCTAAGGTGCAAATGCTCTACCACCGATCCACAATCCTTCCCCACAATAGTTTCACATGAAGGAGTCTTACTCTGAGCCAGAGCATTAGTATACCAAGGGCAGTGCCTGATTTACGCATAAGCTAAACGAGCTACAGTTTAGGGCCTTGCAATCTGCTGGGGCCTCAAATAAAAAAACCCAAAAAAATTAAAAATGATTTTTAAAATCTCATAGAAAAATCACTCAAATGAAGTCAGACATATTACGATGATAAATTCTAAATAATTTTAAATATACAAAATATAGGTAAAGGTAAAGGTTTCCCTTGCTCAAAAGCCAGTTCCAGAGAGGGCCCTGCAGGAGTATCACTCACTGGGTTGAATGGGGCTTCCTCATCTGCCTCTGCAGGGGGTGGGGGGAGAACAGCCCAGTGTATTTTCTGTTGGTCTCTCACTCCCCCACCCCAAAAAGGGTCTTGCTATTGTAATATTGTGATATATTCATTGTATACATGTAGTGGAATTGTTTGCTCTTCCCCTAATAT